ATATTTCCCTCCCCCATCTTTTTCCAATTTTAAACATTTTTGAAAAAGCTCCAGTGAGCCACTAGGGCGGTGCTAAAGAGCCTCGTACGGCTCCAGAGCCGCAGGTTGCCGACCCCCGGTGTAGGCTTTAATCTTACATTACAATGAGTGACAGATTTACATGATTAAAAACTACAAATGTATTTCAACTGCTTTTTCTGCTCAGCACCAACAGCAAAACTAATGAGAATATCAGTTCACAACAATAAACTGCAAAAAAAAAAAAAAATTGCTGTTAGACTTCCATCCATCCCTTATCTGTTCTGCTTTTCCTCACGAGGCTTGCAGGAATACAGCCTATCTTGAATTCAAATAATGCCATTAATAAAATACTCATAGCAAGAACCTCCAACTGAGCTGTTACAAATCACACTATCCATCATTTAATTGGCAGTATCAATTATTGTTCGACTTTTGTGGCAGGCAGAGTTTTATGTCAAACTGCACACTTGCCTGATGAGGGACATGGACACATCTCTGTATCATACAGTTGAAAACTTAAGTTAATTTTGATAAAACACAAACAGTGTCCGCTGTGGATGTTATTGCTCTCTACCATTAAATGTAAGTTGCATCAATACGATCAATAGTCATGTAGCCAATAATAATGAGTTTTATATATTTTATTAAATTAAAAGCCTTCATGAGTTCGGGATTTTTGCTGGGTTGCACCGTGTTGCGCCTTCTTTGTGCCATCTTAACCCAGCATGCGAGGTCAAAGCTGTTGCAATTTAAGACCTAGGTAAATAAAAATAAAAATAAAATGTACATGCAATGGCCTACTCTGGCCTGGCACCTGACTGAAAACAAAATAACTTTGTGCCATTGTTTGCAATATGCACAACTACTTTCAAAGCTTCACTTGAACAGGAAAAAGCGGATGCTAAATTATTCATTAAGAGAAATAAAGGTGACCTGGCAGACCCAATGGGGGGAAAAACAGTTTAATTCTAATATTAACGAATCAAAAAAAGTTATTAGTTAAACAAAAAAAGCTATTGCGAACATAAGACAAAGATACAGTATGCGAGACAAGGGAAAATACTGTGTAAGGCTGCAATGTGCGCAGCCAATCAGCTCACGGGATAAATCCACTCCTGCTCTTAATGGTCGATGCTCTGGGAACCAATCAGCCTTGTTTGGGTGGGCATGCACAAAGACTCTGAGTCATGTCAGCTTGTTGTTCGGCATGCAAGGGAAACCTCTCCTGCGCATCAATAAATCAAATAACGTGTTTTTCCACAATATGGCTGTATTTTTATATTTATTTGTCTTAATCTATTTTGGTGGGGGGAAAAAAACGGCAAACACTGAAGCCACAAAACTTTAAGCACGAAGTGGAGAGGGAGAGGGATCACTGTATTCTTAGTTTAAAGTCAAAACGTGGTGTGTTTTTCTTTGACACTTTCATGATTTCATGATAGACTGTTTTTGGTTCTAAAGACTGTGTGCTTGCAGTGATGTTTTATGTACCGGTACATGCGGCAACATGCGCTGTCTGACCTACATCTGCCAATCGGCTACATAGCTGAGGCGTGGAAAGGCACGCGCGCACACATTCACACACACACAGACACACACCTTAGCAGTGCATGAACATTTCACATCGCGATTCGCATGACTAAAATTATGATGGTTGTCAGTATAATCACAATCATTGTTAAGCGCGTTGCTATGGGTCTAACTCTGAATCTGTCTGGGTTACATTAAAAAAAGCAACTAATGAAACTATGCTTGAAGTAGTTTTAGCTCCAAGTATTACTCAAAAGTTGGTTGTCAAAGAACCTATGGCTTCAAGATGATACATTTTTTACTAACAAGCTCTCTTGATGTATTATTGTTGCTCAGGAAAATGGAACTAGCATTCATTTGAAAAAAATGAAACTAGCATTCATTTGAAATTCCTAGTTCCAGACCTGATTGACATGTTCTCAATGGATACGACCACCCTAAAGAATCTCAAAGTGAAAACAAATGTTTATTTTTTATGCATTAAAAAGGTGGTGATACTTCTGACGTAGATTGTGCATATGCTGTGACGCTTGTTTTAATGCTGCCCTTGGTAACAAACGCTGGGAACTTCTGAATGCGTTTCTGTAAGAAATGTCACACATGAGGCTGTCTCACGTGATCTATCATGACTTAACACTTGTACATGTTTATTTTTCACTTTATTGCAGGGCCTTCTCTTTCAAGCGGCCCCGCCCTTTCCTTTAAACTACCTTACACCCACTATCTCCTATTTTCCTGAGAGCAACACACGCTCCCTCTTCTGTCGGCTTTTGTTTTCTGCATTTCTAAACCTACTGTAGTGTACAGTAGATTTTCAGTCTGCTTTTAACACTTTTTGTTTCCCTACTGAAGATCTTGGCAGCTGCTGGGAAATAATGGAGGCTTTGTGTCGTTGAAGGGATTCCCACTGCATACTTGTCTTCTGGTTCTTTAGCTCCATCTTGTGGTTTGCCGGCAGCGGGCCATGGTTTAGTTTTCTGTACTGAACTCTGGAGATGTGTTTATAAATAGCTCGATATTCTTTCAAGGTTTTTCTTGGTGCACTGAGAATAACTCAAAGCACAAACTGAGTGAATACACCTGAACAGTACAGATGCCTGCTCGTGGAAATTATAGTCTGCTACACTTATAAATTGTATTCTGTAACTGGAATCACAGTTGTCTATCTCTTGCAGAGATTTCTATGTACATCGAGCAAAGGGCACACTTTAATTTGGATCGACTCCTGACATTACAGTAGTTTGGACACAAGCATTGTAGCCCTGCACGCCTGTTGTTAGTGAAAATAGCGTGCCCGCCGATACATCAGCGTGAGGAGTCAAGACTTTAATTTCCAAATACAGTCTTGCAGTATTTACAGAAGGTATGAGTAAAAAATATATCAACGGGAAAGAGAGTATCTACTAAAAAAACAAAATAATACAATCTATTTAGAACTATAATTGTCAGACATTTGTGTTGTTGTCCCTATTTTGGGAATTAGGTCAGAAGGAAAGAAGAGTAAAGTTCAACTGAATGAGCAATCTCGGAGAAAAAGTCAAAATACTGTTCATTTGAAACATTTACCTGAACTAATGTGCTGGAATTTTCCTTACAGTGATTAATCACATTGACATGCACTTTACTGAAAAAAAACGTAATGGAGTGCGTATTAAAAATCATAAATAAAAGTTGGAGCATTTTGGTGCCTTTTTTTTAAAATACTGTTTTACATTTTATCACTGTACAAAATCCACTATATGACAACTTTTTAACATAATTATTTTTGTGGTATTTTCCTACTTGTCGTGTTCAAAGGAAGAAGCAGAACAACCAATGAAAAACATGTTTTATAAACACTGTGCCAGAACAATGTTACACCCAGAAAAGCCTTGCATTTAAGTGTGGGGAGAGATTAGAATGTATCATTTTCTTTGTAGTACTTCTCCTTTTTTTGCAAGTTGTCTTCTTTTAACAAGAGGCCCCTTCCTCTCTGCATTAAAGTTTCAAACAGGAAGACAACGTTACCACACACCAACATTCACTGGGGCAAAATACAACAGTCTTGCGATTCTCTGACGTTTTGATTTACCAAGGAGCTAATGAAACATACAAGAGAGGACTTTTTAAAAATTCACAATCATATGATGAATGGACTACATGAAAAGGTATGGTACTGGTATATATCTCTAAAACAAAGAAAGAAAAAAACGAAAGGAAGCAAACGAAATGATCCAGAAATGAAGGGCTTTCTGGTTTTACGTGATCAATTGAATTATTTCTTATGAACAGAATATTATTGTAGCTAATAGGTTAGCCATAGCCACTTATTTGCTTGCCTTACAGTGGATATTCCATAAACTGTTTCTACGACCAGATATTTTAAATTGTATTTTTCCACTTGATATTTGATCTTTATTGTACTCTACTCTATCGGGCTATATTATCGGGGATTATCATTATAATGTAAGTTTTCCATTATAAAGGTGTTCATTGTAAGCACAATCAACAAATATATATAATGTGAAATCGGGACTTTGAAATATGAATGCTCTAGGGGTGAAAACGTAAACGGAGTACCTTGAAAAGAGGGTCGACTGTACAACATATCTCTCCCCACAGTCAATCAATGCTTCCCAACCAATCACATAAAGAAGCAAATTCATCATTTCGCTTGGTTGGAAACGACGACGCTGCATTACCCACAACTAATTTAATGTCTCACCTGAAATATTGATGGAATTAAATGTTTTACTTGCTTTTAAACCACTGCTCCAAATAAAAGGTGTCATGTTGGGATGGTTTTGTGAAAAAATAAATAAGTAACTTGGACAATTTAGATGTGATCATTTTTTATTTTTATTTTTTGTCCTTAATGCATTGCAGAGGTATCAGATCGGGATTCCGTATCGGCAGGTCCTCATCGCCTGATGAGGACCTGTCGACTGGGACTTGGGTGCAAAAAATGTGATCGGAACATCCCTTTGTAACACGTGCTTAATGTTGCTGGCCTTGTCTTGCTGAAAAAAACAAGGATATCACTTTAAAAAAAAAAACAAAAACAAAAACATTGCTGGATGGAAGCAAATCTTGTGCTTTGTATGTTTGTATTTGTATCAATTTAGGTGCCACTCCGAACTCAAAAGTGACCATTTTACTGCGTTTTTGACTTGGGTTTGGTTGAGTTACAAATATAAAAGGAAGGTCCGACCTGGACTCAATTTTGACTACGCGAAGTAACTTCATAATTTGAAAAAGATGAGTATTGTCTTCGTTTACTTACACCCACTTAAAGTCACGTGCATGCTCAGAAAGCAACTGAGCTAACGCCAGCTGTAGCAGCATGTGTAGCGTCTCAGTGCCAAGTGGACTGTGTGGGTGTTGGGTCACTCATAGCAGACCTGCTCTGACTGAATAGAGGAGGTTCCTATTTTTACCCCTACGCAGCACCCTCATATCACAACAGCTGTCCCCACATCTCCTGTCTGTCCGGGGTCAGGAATAGCCGGGCCTATCAGCGCTCTCACCCTTTCCAGTCCTGCCTGCTCTTTCTGCTCTCCGTCTCATTGCTTACTCCCAACTTTTAAAGTTGAACTAGTTTTGAATCAGACCTCCGGAGAAAAACTGGATTTGTGGATTTACTTCACTAACAGGTAACCTGTTGGGAAATTGGTTTAAAAAAGTCGAGGTCTCCAGAAAAAAATAGGGTGAATGCTGATAATGTTATTTTTAGAACACTAGTCAGCTTCTATGGCTTTTCAGTCTGAAAGAAGCATTTAACACCAGCAGCCGTTTCTCTCTTGCCATTAGTATGATAAAGCACAAGACCATCTACATTGACGTTGGTTTCTCTACTACTCGGATATTCGGAAGATTTTGTAGATAATGTGGATTGGATTGGGAAATTTGGTCATGGCTTGTGTCTGTGAAGTTGCAATGGTTAATTTGTCCAGACAATCCAATTAGGATTTTATTTTACAATGCGATACATTTTTTTGTTAGATTGTGATGGAATCTACTTCAAGGAATGAATTTTATGCTATTGTTTAACATGATGGTTTGATCACATCTTTTTGTTCCGCACTGTTAGAGTACATCTAAAATGTTGGGCACCGATCTGTTCAACGTGCTATTTTATCTTTTTATCTTTTTTTTTTTTCCTTGTCAGAAATGTTTTTTATCTCGATGTTGGTATTGGAGTGTGCTATAACATGACCAGTTTGTTTATGACATATTTAATGTTAATCATTACTCTCTCTACTTACTCTCTATACTTAAGTTCGTCTATATACCACAGGTGTCAAACTCAAGGCCCGGGGGTCAGATCTGGCCCGCCACATCATTTTATGTGGCCTGCGAAAACAAATCAAACATGTCAACTTCTACCATGATCGCTAAAATCTGGACCAAAAGTTCAACTTCTCATATGTAATAAATATGAGAGATATTTTAAGCATTTTCTTGTTCCCAAACCCCTCATTACAGTAACTTAAACAATCGTCGAATATACCATTATTCTTTCATAGTCATAACGGCCCTCCAAGGAAAACAGACACTTCAATGTGGCCCGCGGCAAAAATGAGTTTGACACCCCTGCTCTATACTTATGTGTCACTTTTTTGTTTGTTTGTCATAAATGCTTGTTACTACAATACCAGCGTAGCTCATACTACCAGAGACAAATTCCTCGTGTTTTACTTACTTGGCCAATAATGATGTTGCGGAATCTGATTATTTACAAATTCAATTGGTATGATTAAGATTTAATCATGATTCTTTAAAATAATATTGATTTTCTTGAAAATGAATTTGCCTCGATATATTCCATTTTACACATGGGATCTCTTGTTTTTATTATGTCATTATTTTATTTCTGTGCGCTGTCAAGCTTCATCTGGTCAGGATCAGTCATTTGAGGCCGATATTTCTGGTTCACTACCGACAGACATTAAGCTTGTCAACATTGAGTCAACATGAAGCAGCTGCTTGTACCTTATTGTGTGACGCATCAGCCATTTTTTCCCCCATTCGTAGCAATTGCACCACTGTTGTAGAATTTCTTCAGGTGGCATTTAAGTCTCCATCCATCTTTCTTCTGGACCACTTAACCTCTTTAGCTGAATTTGTTTTAGGCTTGTGAATAAATTAAAAAGTAAAAAGGAGATTACACTTTGGTTATAATTACAGTGGTAGTGTACTGGTTCACATAGCTGATTTCCATCTTGTTGACATGGATCAATTCCCATTCACTGCCTTGGTCACCATTGCCCTGAGATTGCAGAACGAGTCCAGAGAGAAAATAAATGGTAGGGAAATTCAAATGAATGGCATTTATTTGTGAATACATTATAGACAAAAAAAACAAATCATGTACAGCAACATTTAGGATTCGTTTCTTTCAGTTTAAATCATTTTAATCGCTCAATGGTGTCATCTTGTAATGTGCTGCAGTATGTTTGCGAAACTAAAAATAAAAATGCATGTTTCTTCACGAAATAAATACTACTTTTCTTTACAGCCTGAAATGTAAATGTCTTAAAATAATAATATTTGCTTAATCGAGCAATTTCACAACCAGCAGTCTGGAAGTTAGGGTTCAGTGAAATTTTACTATGAAAAGGGATTGGTCTGATGTGATGCAGGTGGACACACAAAATGTATTTTTCTCAGGACTTGACAAGAGAATACAGACGAAAGAACAGTCAAAAGAAAGTAGTTTGTGTCTTTCTCAAAAAAGAAAGCACATTACAAACAGTACACAACCACAGTAGGATTCATTGTTGATGACTACATCTTACTCATGCAGTCAAGACTTGGAATTAGTTCCCAGAATCATATATCTTAATGATAATGATGACGGTATTATTAAAGTATCACCTCATGTCGATGGCCTTTCCAAACTGACAGACAACCCTACACTACTTGTGTCAAATCCAAAATGAAGCCGGTTAGTCAGTGTGCTAACGAAAGCCAATTGGCCCAGAGCCAATGCTGGGTTGCTTCGCTCTACAAGTTGTGAATCAATCCTCCGTACACTTTCAAGAAGAGATGTTACTGCACTCTACTTTCAAAGCAGTCAGAGTTGATTCAACTTTGAACACTAAACTCATGAACAGCACATCTATTATTATGTATAGGGGCATTACATAAACCAGTATTTTTGTCCTTGTAACTACTCATCTTGTATTTTTGAATGTGACTAATAGTAATCATAATTGTGGGAGAATGACGTTCAGTAGGATCGAGCCTGATTGAATGGGACCTTGTTTTGTTCTCTTGTCCTTCTTTTGCCGAACTTGTTTCGGCAGATAAACATAATATTTCTTTGCTTGGATAAAATGATGGATTGATGATAGATGGATGGATTGGTCATATTGTGAAGGAAATGACATTGTCACAGCAGCAATTTTCAATTGTCACAATATCCACTAGGAGCAACCAACCAAGTTGAAAAAAAAACAAAAACCAGAGTATTATTTGAGAGGCATTTAAAGACGTTGAAATTTCTATCTAAACATGGGGAGAAAAAAAAGTATAGAAAATATCGGTCACACATCCTCCTACCGCCAGAATCATTACCTTACAGGAGACCATCAAAACGGCCTGTTTATTTGTTCATCAACGTTGCAGTGTCGAAAAGTGCAAGCTATGTTCAACACATTAAACAAAAATAACACCTACACGTTATCAATCATATAAAGATTGGTGAAAGAAATATGAAAGTTACAATTTCTTTATCTTGAGCAGATAAATTAATGTTCTATTTTGTTTCAGTTTGGAGATTGACGGGGCCTGCCTAAAACTTCCACTACTTCCCCCTTATAAAGTACTTTGCTATTCTGTTCTGTTTTGTTTTACTCTGCATGTTGAGAGCTCTCCCAGCTTGTTTTGGATGTGAATCAGAATCCGAGATAATGTTTCTGAAGTCGTTTTGAAATTTCCCTTCCATTTTGGAATGGTTACCCACCGGCACCACTAAATAAATGTGAAATTTCAGCCAGGTTTTCCTATTCCCCTTGTTAATTAGTGGTTTGCGTCTTGTGATGATGAAGTCGTCTGCGAACGGTAGTTTGTGATATCTTTGTGATACTGCTGAAGTTTGCCTACCATTTATCCAGAAAATATGCTAGGAAATGAACTATTTCAGAGCTTGAGTTTTAGGAACAGAAAATTGCCAGCTTTTTCTTAAGGCTTAACTGCGTAGACTCTGTTTGAACATCGGGTGAAAGGAATGCATAGAGAGAGATGGAGATAAGAGACGCAGAGGAAAACAGTCATGTGGATGGACAAAGTTTGCAACTCGATAGATGCATGCCACGTTGGCTCTGTGTGCTGAGCTGCACGTTAAATGAATGAAAAAACAAATCAGAACCGGCGCAAGAATATTAATTACGGAAGGAAAAGAAGGAAGGAAAAGAAACGGCAGCATTCCGTCAGTAGCAACAAGGGAAATCTAATGATAATTGGAGTGGTCCTGGAATTACCTTTCTGCTATATCTGGTGCTCGCGTCACATCATGTCTTTTGTTATTGATATCTAGGGGAACAATCATCCACACTCACAAAACACAGTAATGGGTGAGCCTTCCAAATCAGTCAAAATCCAGTAAAACGGCTGGGAATGAGGAGTTTGCTCCATTAAAAGTGGCTGGGATTAAATGAGTGAAGAAGTGTAGATTATTCGGTGCCGTGGAGGCATTGATTAACGACTAAGGCGCGACTCCGCAAATGTGTTTAGCTGCACTTGTAGCCAGCTGAAGGTTGTTGCTACCTAGCCAGTGTGGCGTGAGTAGCACCCATCCATAGGTGACATTAGGCGTGTTGTCACGCGTTAACATGCATGCCTTTATCTCAGCTAAACTGTTTGGGACACTTTCCGTGCTTCAATTACACGGTTCAGAAAAACATAAATATCTGTGATTCTTAGTTTTCCTATTCACTTCGTTTGATTGAGGCGCAAAATGTGAGTTTTGACTCGCAAACTGTGATGCAAAACCACTAATTTTGAACCTTGATTGACTACTATAATATGTTCCTTATGGAGACCTAGTACGGACTGAAAAATATATGTCTGATAGAGCCTGGCGAAATATTGTTATCACATTGTAATCGAGATATTAATTTCAAAATCAGGACAATATCAGTCACTTGAACTTTTCGACACTTGAGCTCCATGTAAAACTCAGGCCAACCTCCTTTCAAGTTTGGCGTTGATTGACAGCTAAAGCCAGCCAATGACAGTGCTGTGGGAGGGAGGAACGAGGGTTGGAGACAGTTAGCCACTGCTGGACTAGCGCACACACAAGAAATCCACTTCCGGGTCAGTGAGTTGTCAAATGACAGAACTTTGGGCAATCGAGTGTTAGGTCATTTGAACGTGTCGATAAAGTTGTTCTAACGCATTAGTAAAATGTATGCAAAATGGTTCAAACATTTTCCTCATAATGCCACAGGGTATTGACTTGCGAATGCGCAATTGTGCATCATGCGGACAAATGCTTTGTTTTTAGCATTTAGCCTACATTTTACCACAACGTGATCAGTATGTTCGACCAGCGTAACCTAGTAAAAAATGGGCAGTTGCACACTTCTATATGGATAGCTTATTGCAAAGGTTGTTGTAAAATTGAGTTGTTTGCGCCTCGACCTGTCTTGACCGCTATGAGCTTTTTGTGGATTTAAAAAGAAAAGTGAGACAATGCAAAATATTGTATGGGGGGGCATGCAACTCCACTCAGGAAGACCACAGCCAAGATTTGAACCCCAAATCTCAAAAGTATGATGCAGACATGCTAAATTCCTGCCCACTGTGAGGCATGTTTGATTTATTTTCAGGTATAAATAAAACACACACACTCTGTCGGGAGGGCAGAGATTTCATCACAATGTACTTTTCTTCACACAAACCGAAATGATTTTGAACGGTTCATGTGAAGAGGTCTCGTTTGTAATCTGCCAGAACCACCCGCATCTTTTGTTTCATGTTGCTTGCCAGCGTAGGAGTGACACCACTGCTCAAGGCAGCACCCAATTTGGGAAGGATGCAGTGTTTACTAATTTTGCTCCAATAATTGTGTACCCTTTATTTTGTCAGCAATACAATCTCTCCACGTGTTGCAGGGATACCTGCTTATTTTAATTCTCGCATTTTTCCTGACCCCACAGCCCATGACAGCGGATCAGCCAACATGGCATTCTCATCTCGTTTTTCCTTCTGGGAGCAAAAGGGAAGTCTCACTTGGCAACCTAACCTAGCATGGTGTTTTGTATTAACACACCTGTGGCCTTTTGTGTCAGATAGTCTGAGATTTTTATCACGTGTGCATAATTTATTCATTTATTTGTAGTTCACTGAGTTTAAGTCATGCACAAATAACTAAGGGCGATTAAGTTGTCTTAGTTTTACTGAGAAAGACAATCAAGACAGCCATCCGATTGTGTGATGCATGTTTTGTGGTTTGCATGGATTGGTGGACTATGCCTGTGGTAAGAGTTTTAAATGCTCTCATTTGTATTAATTTATTTAGGTCAAAGAGGAGAACAAGCCAGACAGCAAAAATGTGAGTGATTTAATTTGGTAGTAAGATACATTAGGCACAACATAACAATCCAGGCGCGGGTTAGGGTTGTTAAATTCACGATTGATCACTAGTAAATAATACAGAGATGAAAGTCCTCCGGATTTTCCCGGAATTCCGGGTTTTTCAAATTTTTATGAAAATCTGTCCGGAGAATTGAGGAAAATTTGCCGAAAATTAATCCGGATATTAGTTGACAACATTGAACGAAGACGCGTTTGAGTTTGTTGTTTTGCTTTCACGAGCGTAGCCGTGTTGAAACACTAACACTTGTAACAGTAAAGAGATTTTCGTCTCTTTATAAACACACTTGCTAAACCCCAGTGGAACGAACAAAAGACACCGTGGACAAGACAGTTGTCGTAAAAAATATATTTGGGCAAAAAGGGAAACACACAGATTGGCAGAAAAACGTGTCCGTCCGACTTCGAGTGTCGTCTCGGCTAGCTTAGTTTAGCTGTTGTCTTGTGTGACGTTATTGCGTCAGCGCTGATTGGTTGAAATCAAAAGACGCGCCTGTACATGTTCGCGCTGACGCGCGCACAGTAGAGAGCAGCGGACAAGCTGGAGTGGCGTCGCCACAACAGTAATAATATCCTCGTCTCGCATTCTCATGGCCTCGCCATATCTCTGAGATTTCGACATTTCGGCGAGAACGGGAGCCACAAAGGGTGCATGAGCCCAATCACTTAACTTGATTTGCATGCCCGAGCCCGAAGCCAACCCGTGATTTCATATTTTATTTGGGAGGACTCGGGAGAAGGAGGGGTGATTGCTGATAACAAAGCCTGTTTTTTGGAACGAAATCTAAGTTAAACAAGACTGGATAAACATTTACATCTATTATATTTCTGTTTCTGAAGAGGTTACATTAACGGACAATTTTCCATCATTGACGGATTTTTTTTAAGAGTGGACGGGGAAAATTTAAGGCCGTCCGTCATTTTGACGGGTTGAAAATTGGGCCATTCACAACAGCAGCAATACGTCCTTAAGAATCGAGCGCGGCACTTGAAGAGAGAGAAGCAGCGAGACAAAAAAGAACAATGACGGCTGGATCATAAAGATATGAAGGAGTTCTTTGAATTGTCATTGCGAGAGTTTAGTACAGTACGTGTGGTGATGACGCC